TGCTATATATATCACTTGTATATATTTCCTCCCGACCTGTGGCTCATCTTCTCATTTTATTGATAGTATCTTTTCAAGCCGGAAAATTTTTATTTTGATAAAATACTATGTATCAGTTTTTTATTTTGTCAGATATGCGTTTGTTGTTATATCTAAGAAACCTTGCCTAACCTAGGGTCATGAAGATATTCTCCTGTGTTGTTCTAAGGTTTTTGTAGTTTTAACTCTTAAATGTAGACCTATAATTCATTCTGCATTAATTGTTGCCTATGGTGTGAGGTAAGGTTCCAAAAATATTTACCTTTTTGACTGTGGCTATCTAGTTGTTCAGACTTTTTTAAAAAAATTTCCCCTCAATTGCCCTGGCACCTTTGTCAAAAAAAGTTGTTATTTCTGGATTCTCAGTTCTGTACAGTTGTGTTCAATTGATCTATATATCTTTTTGTATGCCATTAGTTATATTTCACTTTGTTGCACAGGCTGGTGTAGAGTGGTCCAATTATAGCTCACTATAAGCCTCAAACTCCTGGGCTCAAGCATCCTCCCACCTCAGCCTCCCAAGTAGCCAAGACTACAGGTATACCATCACTCCTGGCTAATTTTTAAAATTTGTGTAGAGACATAGTCTTACTTTATTGCCCAGGCTGGTCTCGAATTCCTGGCCTCAAGCCATCCTCCCATTTAGGCCTCCCCAAGTGTTGGGATTACCAGCGAGAACCACCGTGCCTGGCCAGTATTGTCTTGATTATTGTAATTTTGTAGTAAGTTTTGAAATAATATAAGTCCTCCTGCTTTGTTCTAGTTCCAGATTGTTTTGGCTTTTCTGAGTCCTTCGCATTTCCAAATAAATTTTAGGACCTGTTTGTTGGTTTCTAGAAAAGATCCACCAGGATTGAGGTGGAGATTGCATTGATCAGTCTGGGGAGAGTTGCCATTTTGATAATATTGATTCTTCCAATCCATGTACATGAGGTGGTCTCTTCATTTATTTGCATGTTTCCTGTAATCATTTAAACACATTATACACCAACAGACAGATACACACACACACACACACACACACACACACACACACACACACACACACACTCTCTCTCTCTCTCTCTCTCTCTCTCTCTCTCTCTCTCTCTCTTTCTCAATTTGGTAACACCCCCACATACACCCCACACACACACACTCACTCTCTCTCTCTCTCTCTCTATTTTGTAACCAGCCTTATCGTGCTTTCCTATTTCTTCTTTCTCTGCATCCTGATGCCTTCCATTTTGTCTCACATAATCCTCTTACTTGTATTTATTCTTTTTCTGCCCCTCCCTCCCCCACCAGAGTCTTAATCTGTCCCCCAGGCTAGAGTGCAGTGGCACAATCTCAGCTCACTGCAACCTCTGCTTGCCAGGTTCCAGCAGTTCTCCCACCTCAGCCTCCTGATTAGCTGGAATTACAGGCATGCGCCACCACGCCTGGCTCATTTTTGTAATTTAAGTAGAAATGGGGGTTTCGCCAAGTTAGCCAGGCTGATCTCGAACTTCTGACCTCAGGGTATCTGCCTGCGTCTGCCTTCCAAAGTGCTGGGATCACAGGCATGAGCCACTGCACCCAACAGTATTTCATTTTGTCAAACTACAGTCTTGAATAATTTTTTTGAAAATGGTCTATTTATAAAATTTCATTTTGTCATCTCATTTGTTTTCTTGTCTGCCATATTCTAGAACCAAAATTATTTTCCCTCAAAACTTTGAAGATATAGCTGTGTTGCTTTTATATTCAGTATGTTGGCTGAGAGATTTGTTGAAAATATGATTTTATGTTTTTGTATATATGACATTTTTTGGAAACAGGATTTTTCTCTTGGATTTCTGAAAATTTAGCCCTAGCTGTGTAAAGTCTCTATTCATGTAGAGGTTTTCTTGATCTTAGATTTTTAACTTTACTCATTTCTAGAAATTTTTGTTTATTCCTTTGTCGTTCTAGTCTGTACTCTCTCTAGAACTGCTTTTGAGTAGACATTGCTCTGTATTTCATCTCTTACTCCTTCAGTGTATTCTGAGAATGTTCATTTTCTCAATTTTCTAACTCTAATCTGTTCATCTATCATCAGTCATATAGTGAATTCTTACACTTAAGGGTGTTTTTCTGTCCTCATATCATCCTAATGTTTAATTGATGTGACAGCACACACACACAGACACACACACACACACACACACACAGACACACACACACACACTTTTTTTTTTTTTTTTTTTTTTTTTTTTTTTTTTTTTTTT